TAGCAAGCGCGTTTATATTCATGGTGTCTCGAAAGTGGGGATGGAGAAGCTTGTAAACTGGATGAAGAACACTTAGTTGTCTGTTCGTTGCAATCACAACCGGCTCAATTACAGCATGAGTATTCAACCTACAAGATACCGAATTTAAATTCAAGAATCCATATGACTAGAACTATACTCAAATTTTCAGTCCATATCACAGAAGAATTATACCAATGGCTGATGAGTTGATGGTAGCCAGAGTCATTTACGGTCGCATAAGCTTTGGCAAGTTGCCAGATTGAACTACCAACCCCTTGTTCGGCTGGAACAAAAACCTTGCTAACCGCTCCAAATTCATCTCCCCGAGGATTTGGCAAGCTCAGTTCGATTGCCAATGGCTTCAGAGTCCCATCTTCTTTAAGGAAAAGTAGGGTTCTGCTAGCGTAAGTCTTTGTGGAAGTTGTATTAATTCGTCTAAGGTATGGCATCAGTGAATCGTGGTGATCCAATATAAACAACCTGTTCTTCTTGATTGCCTAAGCCACCAAATTATACAAGATATGAGAATGCAGAAATAATATCAGCGATGTTAATTCTACAGTTGTATCTTCCTAGGATCAAAATTTGTTTTTCTTTTTTTTTGGATTATTTACTCAATGATGATAATTCACCTCTTCTACCATCAATTCATCCAAGTTATGCATTATGTGTTCTTCAGTTATCTTGCTGGTTTGATCACCATAAACTTCAGGGTCAAGCTTGCTCGTTGGTGGAAACACCTGCAATTCAAAGTATGAATATTCAATTTGGGAAACATTTCAAATTTTCTTAATCCCAAATTTTTATATCTTTCTCCCTCTAAAAATTTAAATGTTAAGTTCGAATGGGTTCAGGGAGAAGTATAAATTTGAAAAACGAGGTTAACATAGATATCTGAGATTACTTGGAGACGACGAATGACTACAGGGTTCACTCCGGCCAGCATTTCTCTACCAAATTCTTCATCGGTCCTCCATGCAGATCTATCCTCTGTTACAAAAAAAATGATTAAATCATCAGAAATTTAAGCTAGCAAGAACCAAAGTTATCAGAGACTACAAACTTCAAATACCTTTAATCACTTGAGGCATAGGGAATTTGAAGAGCCCTTCACCATCAGTTCTAAAAATTTCCTTGATCAAAGGAGCCGCAATGTTTTCCCTGATAACCTCAAACAAACCATCCGGCACTCGAAATCCTCCTTCATAGAGATCAAGAACGTCCTGAAAACTGTCGAACTCACCCGGAGTGGCATCAAAGTATTCTTCGAGGCCAGGTTTGATAAACTGCGATACTGCCTTCAAAGCATAAGCAAGAAAATCGGACAACTTCACGTGACCAAATCTCTCATCTCTGGGAACGTAAATGTTTAGGCTCTGAACAAGTGGTATTCTGCTCTCAGTTTCCGGATCTGAAAGAAAAAGAAAAATCGATTCCAATTCCGATAACATTTCCAATAAATTGAATCTACAAACTTGGAAGAGATTTTGATTTTCTTGCCAGATTTGGTCGGCGGTCGTCCGGTTCTTCCTCTCCGAGGGTAAGGATAGTTGGTCGAGCCGCCAAGGACGGGACGAGCGTATTCTGAGCCTTTATCTGGATCAGCAAGATCGTTATAGAGAGCATAATCATAAACCCTATTCCATTCTTGGAGTTCACCATTGCCATCTCCTCTCAAGCTCTGCAACTCGTCTTCTCTCAACTTACGAAGTGGCTCTGGTGTTTCGCTTGGAAGATAGGTCTGTTTCAATTTGGGTAAAACAAAATTCAATTTTCATTTATTTATATACCTTTAAATTTGAATTTTGGCGTCATCAATTAAATCTTAAACTAATAATTAAACGAATATAATAACGTTTTTTAATTAAATTTAAACAATAGATCAATAATTACTAATTTAAACTTTTAATAAATACAACTTCATAATATATGGTTCCATTACTTTAAAATTACTTAGATCAATTATTATTTATTAATTTAAATTTTAAATTGATTCAATAATTATAATAAATATGCCCCAGTCTTCAACCTCAATTTCCACATTCTTATAAATAATGTTTTGTTTCTTTGTACAACCAATGTGAGATCTCACAATCCACCCCCTTGTCTTATTACAGTCCAAGTCCACTGCTAATAGATATTGTCCGTTTTGGCCCGTTACATATCGTTGTCAGCCTCACGGCTTTAAAACACGTCTGTTAGTGTTAGGGATAGGTTTCTACACCCTTATAAAGAATGTTTTGTTCTCCTCTCCAACAGATATAGAATCTCACATAACACATTAGATACAATTGAAAATTCAAAATTTAAAAACAGTGGTAATAGAGACTAATATCAAAAATAAAAATTCATAAATAAATAAAAACTCAAAGATAACCTAATTTTCAAAACACAGAAACATGAACACGTAGCGTTGGTCATAGAAGCTTAGCCCTTAAGTTGTATTACTATTTCAATCGATCTTAATCGTAGGCATCGTAATTTTTTTAACTTTGAGGTCGCTTACTTACACGAAATGGGAATCAGGGAACGAGAATAAAAAAAAAAATATTCTAATTCCGACACATTTCAATATCTAGTAGGAAGAGAAAAGGAACTGAACCTGGTTGACGAAGAAAACCCGATTTTCTTTGCTCAAACGAAAAGGGTAAACCCAAGAATTACAAAGGAAATAGATTCTTCCATAGCCGGGAACGTGTCGAAGTGTTAGAGATTTAAGATAGAACTTGCTATGATGATGATTTCTAATGAAGAAAGCACCAGGAATTCCCATCTCTTCTTCATCCCAATCAAATGTAACATTGAACGTAGCTTCCCCAGCCGTTAATGGAGTTATTGCAGTGATCCAATCCTCCAAATAAGCTGTTTTTCCCAATATACCCCTCAACCCATTGCCTTCCAAAAAGAGGGGGGAAAATCAATTATAAGAATAATTTTTTAAAAAATGATAATAATTCAACCAAATTAAACCTTATTTTCTGTAAATAATAATGTTGACTAAAAAATTATTGGTTTATTTTTTATTTTAAATTATTTATGCATAAAGTTATTTTAAGAAATAAATAAATAATAGTATTTAGAAATAATGTCTCTTTTTATTATTATTATTCAAACAATAAAACCAACCGGTTCATATTTGGTATAATTATTTAAACCTTTTTTATGTTAAAAAAATTAGCAATAATAATTAAAATGTGGTTTTATATAATATATATTTAATAAAATAATATTTAAGCTATATAAAAAATTATTTTTAAGTAAATAGAAATTTGAGAAAATTAACGAAATAATTATAAAGCAAAAGTATGCTTTTAAGATAAAAAGCAAAACTTATAATTGAAGTATTAGCTTCTTTTTTTTTTTTCTTTTTTTTTTTTTAAATTAAAATTCAATCTCAAGCTACATTTTCATACCCACTAATATATTCTTAGAGAATCTTGCTAAAAAGGTTGTAAAAACTTAAACAAAATGACGGAGAAATTATTCGAGCTAATTAGCACGTAACGTAGCTGACATTTTACCTATGATTGAATCTACGAGAGAAATTAAGAGACTAAAACATTGTAGTAGAAGTTGTATGAAAAATTGTGATTTGTCATCCTAACACTGATTCTCGGGACGTGCAATTAAATCAAAATTCTTAGTTTCTACCATTTTTCTTCGACTGTATAAAAACTGTAAGTAACATCGTTTGGCTTCCCCTTAAAGAATCTCTCGAGAACGAGATTGAGACCGAAAGAGAGAAAGAGAGAGATTATATTGATGAAAGAAGAGAGAGAAAACTTACGATGATCGCCATGATCTGCACTAACGAGTTGGAGAGAAACTCGTTGGCCAAGAAATTCGTGAAGACGATCGAGAAAAGAAGCACGAAAATCATTGAAGTCCAAAACATTGCTTTTCATCAAAACCACTTCGCCTTTGATCGTCTTCTTCTCTTTGGAGAACATTTTTTACTCTCTCTTTCTTTTTTTCAGAAAACTCAAGAAGTTGAAGAAGGTAAGAACTAAAAACACCCTTTTATACCCACAAAGCCGGGCAACTTAATGGACCTGTACCCGTTTACAATACCCGACCCGACCCGACTCAATCACTTATTATTATTATTAATTTAAATGAAGACATTTTAAATGTGTAGGGTAGTTGTTTAAAGACTACAATCCACCTGTGCATAGAGAAAAAAAAAAAAAAAATATATATATATATATATATATATATATATATATATATATATATATTTATTTATTTATTTATTCTTCGTTCGTTCTATGTAAAAACCTTTCAAAGCATTTTAAACGTGTCATCGACTTATATGTTCATAATAAATTTGTTAAACAATATAGAGAAAAACGAAGAAGAGAATAAAATAATGTCTTGATCTAATCTAAGGGCTATAAATAAAATGAAATGCATTCATCCTAACTTCAATTTCACCGCTGCCCGTGTGATGTCATCATCTGTATAGAGATTTTTTTTATTTACTTTAAAAGTAACCGTAGCACGTAATTTGACTATTTTAGGAAAATACTCTCCACTACTGAGGTCAAGAAGTGTTTAGGACATATCATAAAACATCATTTCATGACAATGACTTTAGCTTCCAGTCTGAACAGAATTGGAAGTATAGAATTTTTCTACACGGCTCATGTACGCGTACATGGACCCATGCAAGCTCGTATACTCGTGAACCTAACCTCGTATACCAACCCTGGAACCTAATCTCGTATACCTACCTTTAAATCTAATCGTCGACTAGCATACACTCACATTGTCGGTATATACACTCTACATTTTGATTATAGGTTTGATCTCAACTTAGGAATTTACTACTAAAGACACTTGTCTAATTTTCATAAATCTTACCGGCTCGATCCAGAGGTCACAAATTTTAAATTTCACTCAACCGACGAAGATGTCACATGTTTTAAACGTTTTAAATTTCAATGTTAGGTGAATTAAAAAAAATAAAAATAAAAAAATAAAAAAGGAAAGAGAAACTTACGGCAAGGGTACATCAATCCGTCTTCATCCGACTGGAGCCAATTCGACGGCGGTCGCCCTATCTTAAAGAAAACAGATCGCCAGAGTCCCATTTTCATGGATGAAACTCAAATGGGTATTTCAAAGACTGAGCTCCAAGCTTCCCTCTTGGGCCTCTTCTCGAATCTCCCCATTCAGAAACCAATTCCATCAAAACCCATTTGCAGAAACCTCCTCAACATTCGTCCTCAACCATGTAGACCCAAGCTTCCTTCTGTCCGTTTGTGGAAGAGACGGCCACCTCTATTTGGGCTCTTCCCTCCATGCCTCCATCATCAAGAGCTTCGAGCTCTCCAACCATGAAAATGGGGTCGTCATAATGAACTCTCTCATCTCCATGTACGAGAGGTGTGGTAAATTGCCGGATGCTGTCAAGGTGTTTGATGAAATGCCCACAAGAGATACTGTTTCGTGGAACGCATTGATCGGTGGGTTTATGAGAAATGGGGAGTTCTATGCTGGTTTTAGCTATTTTAAGGCTATGTGTTTAGTTGGTGATTGTAAATTTGATAAAGCTACTTTGACGACGATTTTATCTGCTTGTGATGGCTCGGAGATGTGTTGCATCATTGAAATGATGCATGGTTTGACGTTTTTGAGTGGATATGAACAAGAAATTACTGTGGGAAATGCTCTGATTAGTTCGTATTTTAAATGTGGATGTGTTGGTTTTGGGAGGCAACTTTTTTATGAGATGGAGGAGAGAAATGTGATTACTTGGACGGCTGTGATCTCTGGTTTGGCTCAAAATGGGCATCATGAGCACAGCCTGGAGCTGTTTAGGGAGATGATGAGTTGTGGCTCTGTGGAGCCAAATTCTTTAACTTATTTGAGCTTACTCACTGCTTGTTCTGGTTTGGAGGCATTAGAGGAAGGATGCCAAATTCATGGTCTTATTTTGAAATTGGGAATTCAGTCAGATTTGTGCATTGGGAGTGCTCTGATGGATATGTACTCAAAATGTGGAAGCATTGGAGATGCTTGGAAGATTTTTGAGTCGGCTGAGGAACTCGATATGGTTTCGTTGACTGTTATCCTTGCAGGGTTCACACAGAATGGATGTGAGGAAGAAGCCATCCAAATCTTTCTGAAAATGTTGAAAATGGGGATTGAGATTGACGCAAATGTTGTTTCAGCTGTTCTTGGAGTGTTTGGTGCTGATACATCTTTGAGGCTGGGTCAACAAGTTCATTCGTTTATTGTCAAAAAGAACTTTAGTTGCAATCCTTTCGTGAGCAATGGACTTATAAACATGTACTCCAAGTGTGGAGCACTGGATGAATCAGTGAAGGTCTTTGATAGGATGCAAAATAGGAACTCTGTCACATGGAACTCCATGATTGCAGCATTTGCTCGACACGGAGATGGCTCGAAAGCTCTACATCTTTACGAGAATATGAAACTGGAAGGTGCAAAGCCAACAGACATCACGTTTCTATCATTACTCCATGCTTGTAGTCATGTTGGGTTAGTAAATAAAGGTATGGAGTTCCTTGAATCAATGACAAAAGATCACAGGATGAATCCTAGGAGCGAACACTACGCTTGTGTTGTCGACATGTTGGGTAGAGCAGGGCTGCTGTCTGAAGCTAGAACCTTCATTGAGAAACTGCCTGAACAGCCAGGTTTACTCGTCTGGCAGGCATTGCTCGGCGCCTGCAGCCTCTACGGTGATTCTGAAATGGGGAAATATGCAGCCGAACATCTGTTTTCGGAAACGCCGTATAGCTCAGTCCCTTATGTTTTGTTAGCCAACATATATTCTTCTGAAGGGAATTGGAAGGAAAGAGCAAGGACAATTAGGAAGATGAAGGAGACGGGAATGGCCAAAGAAACTGGTATCAGTTGGATTGAGATTGACAAGAAAGTCCATAGTTTTACTGTTGGAGACAAAAGGCATCCACAAGCTGATATCATTTATGGAGTTTTGATGGATCTGTTTGTACTCATGGTAGATGAAGGATATGTACCAGATAAGAATTTCATCCTCTTCTACTTGGATCCTGATGACAAGAAGGAACCGATCGATAACGATAACGGTCCTATTAACGATCCAAACTTATTCCTCTCTCTGGTATGAATACTAGACATGAGCCGTTGTTATAATGACGTCCTTCCCATGTTCACTTTTGCTTCTTCCACCAGGGCAGCCAGGGCACTTACCCAAGGTTAGTTAGAGTGATAAATCAATCATAATTTCAAATTTGGGTGCATCACCAAAAGGTTTATGACATGTTTATCATTCTAACGATGATTTCTCGATTTATTTCTTGTAATTACGACGAAGCGAGGATTGACATGCTCATATTGTAGTTCACTGACTAATGCCCCATAAGTTGTAGACATTATGTAACACCTTTGCAGTATCATAACGAGAGACGTTAAAACTTGATATGAGCCACGTTTTCTTAATCTTTTAAAGAAAACTATTAATCGTTTTTAGCCATACTTAGAGTCCATAAATTTAATAACTATCAAATACATAAAAAAATTCTTCATCTTGTATACTATTCTTGAGCATCAAAGATAACATGAGAATGCTACATTATAGGTGAAAAAGGTAATTTCCACAAGTTCAACTAAAATTTACCCCTAGTTATTCACTGATAGCGTATAATACAAAGTTCAGATTATTGTCATGCCATTTCTTTTAGGGTATTTCTCTTCAAGGTTGATTTTGGATATGTGATTCTTGTCTGCAGAAGATTCACTTATCAATGTATCTTGGCTTTACCATAAGGAAAATTTGATGAGATAGCTGTAGCAGTAAACTGGTAGCCTATGCTTGTAGCTTGATTATCCATAGTTTACTCAACTAAGATACCGATAAGAACATATTTATCAAGAAAACTGACTCTTCTTTACTTTCTGGAACAGAATAGAATGCATTAGGAGTTCATAACTTACAAGGACCCATGAGTTGTAATAATATCAAGGAAACTTGCTTCGCTTATCTTGAAATTGCTTTCATGAATCGGGTTACGGAAGAGAGAACTCCAGCTGCTTTGTCGAAAAATGACGGGTCGTTTGACTCTGCTACATTTCCAAATATTATCTGCATAAGATACTTAGGCTTACATTATTGCTCCAATTAATCTCTTCTGGATTTAAGAACCATTATAGAGTTGAAATTGTGAAAGCTCCATAATCTAGATATTAATTTCTGATCATACATTGTGAGGTAAGTAAAAGACACATTTATTGTAACAACCCAAATCCACCGCAAACCGCAAACTGTCTGTTTTGGCCCATTACGTATTGTCGTCAGCCTCACAGTTTTAAAACGCGGATGTCAGGGAGAGGTTTCCACACATTTATAAGTTTGGGAGAGGTTTCCACTTATAACAAAGCATTCCTTATAAGTGTGTGAAACCTCTCTCTAGCAAACACGTTTTAAAAATCTTGAGAGGAAGCTCGGAAGGGAAAGCCTAAAGAGGACAATATCAATAAGCGATAGGCTTGGGCTGTTACAAATATTGTTAGATCTCACATCGGTTGGAGAGGGGAACGAAACATTTTTTTATAAGTGTGTGGAAACTTCTCTCTAATAGACGCGTTTTAGAACCGCAAGACTGACCGTGATACATAATAGACCAAAGTGAATAATATCTGCTAGCAGTGGACTTGGATTGTTACATTAATAGTATCATGATAATTTCTCATACGTTATTTTCTTAGGTAACTGACCTCGAGGTCTCCAGCATCCGGTCGGCTTATTAATTCTTTGGCAAGCAAATATCTGCCTGGCCTATCTTTATCATCAAAGAACACTTTCCACAACCTGGTTAACAATTGCAAAGATGTCAATCACTTCTTCAAAAAAGAAAAACCCCCAAGAAGGGAAGAACAAGAAGAAGAAAGTGGTTGGAGAAACTTCAACCATGGATATTTGCTGTAAGATGAGTGACATGGCCTTGAGTTTGATTATTATTTCACATTAATGGTTCCGTTACTTTCAAGTAAGATATAGCATAGTTTTTTATTACTTTCTTAAGTTAGTTCAAGTCATGCAACTAAACTGGACAATCTGGGTCGTTCCTATATGACTGTGTTGGGTTATAGAGTCTGCCGTTTATTTATAGCTTACCCAATTATTATACAGTAAAACTAGATATGGTTGGTAATGTTATATGTGGTAGATTGTTACATCTGGTAAAACTATATATAATAAACTGAACTATATATATATCCCTAGACAGTGATTTGAAAATGTACTTTTTGTATTCTCTTTTATTGTATATACTTGAAGTCATCAATATAAACCTCTATCTAATATTCCTTTTAGCATTTTCTCTCTCTTGTTTTTTGTGTTCATCTAGATCGAGTGTGTGTGTTGTTGTGTGATCCTAATCGACTGGATCAAGTTTTTTTGCATTTTCAGCACGGTGAATAGATCTAAAGAATCTCATAAAATGTTAGAATCTCCTTACCCAGGATAAGCTCTAAATACAGCACCAGATGGCAAAGGCCTCATGGAGTAGACTGTTGTAAATGTGCTGCACAAAAAAGAACAAAGTAGAGGTTGAGTTGGACAAATCCCAAGTTTAGAGCCTCTTGTATATGAGACCTCTTTTCTCCTTGGCAACTTTTATGTATGAGGTTAGACATTTACTTCACATTAGAACACTTTATTGAGCTATGATGATCATCTTTTGTAAGTAACTGTTTCATAATGCTGATGTCTACTAAGTGTTTTGAAATTTACCTTAAAAAGTATCTTCTCAATTTTCGAACGTTAAATCCGACCCCTACATCTTCGCTGATGAGACGGGGATTCCACATGATAAGAGGCCTTGGCTGCCATCAATGTAGAAAAATAAAGAGCGGATGTTAGGTTATGGAGTCTACTCCTTATTTAGCTTATTCAATTGTTATACGTAATAAAGCTGATATATATGATAGATAGTTTTATATAGTAGAGGGTTATATCTAGTAAGTAAACTGAACTATATATATACCCAGTACCAATCGCAAATTGAATGATTCAGATTTTTACCGGATCATCTGAGAGGGCAGCTGCTATTTTCTCCACATTTTCCAACATTTGGTAATCAGGAACAACCATGACAACTATCTCATCTGCAGTATCTACAGGTTTTCGGTCGCTTAAGCTGAGAACGACAACCATACGAAGAGAACATACAGATTCAGATTGCGCAAATCAAGATTTTAGCTCAACCTTTTGGAGTACACAACTTGTATGTTACATGGAACTTACCTGGAAATTTTGAAGGAAGCATCTTTCCATCGATATTCAAGAAGCGCAGCGGCCCCAGCATCTGGAAACACAGCTTTAACTTTCTAGCAATTAAATTTGCATTACTTAGATATGTATATTACAAAGCTAGTGAATAAACATCCTAAGAACTTTGAAATTCTACTGTTTTCTTTGTAACACATTCCATGGTATAATATATTCCAAGTGTTCTCCAAATTCAATTCTTGATTGATAAACAGGGCCTTGAAGTGATAATTCCATATTCTACTTACCTCACATTTTGTTTCCTCAATGACTGACTCCAAGAAAACTCTGGACAGTTCCCAGAGTTCAGCTTGAGCACCTTCATCGTCCAGAAACTGTAGCTGGGGGATAAGGAGCTCAACCTGAAAAGAAAATGTTGAAAATGTGTGGATTGTGAGATCCCACCTCGGTTGGGGAGGAGAACGAAATATTCTTTATAAATGTGTGGAAACCTCTCCCTAGTAGACGCGTTTTGAAAACCTTGAGCGAAAGCTGGAAATGGAAAGCCCAAAAAGGACAATATCTGCTAGTGGTGGCTTGGGTCGTTACAGTTGAAAGTAAAGAGAGGAGGGAGATATAGAAATGAATCAGCGAATCATGAAATGTCTCAAAACTAGCATTCGAACGAGTAGGTCATTTCAGAGATTAGTAGCAATGGATCCCTTGCAACCAAGCATGGCAAATTATGCAGGAAGAATCTAAATTTACAGCAACATACTACACTCAGGTGATTTGGGAAGGCTGCAATTTGGAAATATCAAGCGTTTTCAAGTTCTGTCATAATTTGTGCATATTTATAAAGAAGTGGCATAAGATTTGGCAAAGATTAGCAAAAAGAGTATCATACTATTGCTCTCAGTCCTCCTGAAGACACAAACAAACCAGCAGCTTCACCAGATTGCCTGACTGCTCCCTCCAAGTCTGAAGGCAAGCAGCTGAAAGTGAGAGTAAAAACATTGAGAAAGCCCTGCTTCACCAACCAAATGAGAATGGATATTTCAATTTCACAAAAATCTTTATAAAACAAAACAAAAAGATGGCCAATACTGTTCCTCCTTTCATTTCGTATCAATTGAGAACGTTTACTTCTAGTGAACAGATAGTGTTCGTTACTTATAAACCCATGATCTTCCTCTTAATTAAATAACGTGGGACTATTCCTTCCAATAATCCTCAACAATATCTCCAGCCAAGCTGAGCATTCCCAAGTTAATTTGAACATGTCTAGTCTATGTCTAGTCTATTTGCAAAAGAATAGATGACGTGTTCGTAGGTGGCTACCATGGCTTGAACTTGTTCTCTCCCACTTCTTTATTATTTACAAGGTCTTTATTGACTACTAGGTCAACCTATGGTGGTTGGTAATAGTCATATACATGATCAAACAGTAAAAACAATTAGTTAAAGCATTTCTTCGCTTACAGATAATCAATGTCTTATGTTTGTGAGATCCCACGTCGGTTGGAGAGGTGAACAAAACATTCCTTATAAGGGTGTGGAAACCTCTCCCTAGTAGATACGTTTTAAAACTGTGAGGCTGACGGTGATACATAACGGACCAAAACGGACAATATCTGTTAGCGGTGGCCTTGGGTTGTTACAAATAGTATCAGAGTCAAACACTGGGCGGTGTGCCAGTGAGGACGTCGGCCCTCAAGGGCGGTGAATTGTGAGACCCCACATTGACTGGAGAGGTGAACGATACATTTCTTATAAGGATGTGGAAACCTCTCCCTAATAGACGTGTTTTAAAACCGTGAGACTGACAACGATAAGTAACGGTCCAAAGCAGACAATATCTGTTAGTGGTGACCTTGGGTTGTTATATATTCCTCTTTGGACTTTATAGGATATCTTACTACCAGCATCACCTTACCCTCCAAACATCTCAAGCCGCTACTACAGGATCACTCCTAGGGGATAAATGAACTTTCCAGACCATGAAATCCACCATGGCCAGCCCTTGGGGTTTACAGAACTGAGTTCTTCATCATTCAACCATAATTTAAGACCATTTTGAGAGACTTATGAGTCACAAATCCTCCATTAGCTTGAAAAATCCTTACCTCCTAGCTCTTCATTATATGCAACTCAGTAATCAATCAAATAAGAGCCACCATGAGAGTCTTTCCATCTTTCCACTATTAACTTATAGGGTTCAAACAACTTTAAGATTCAGTAGACAAACATTGAGGAGGAAGAGAAATTGAAAACCTGTCATCTTCTTCAACCTCTTGACTCACAGAAGGCGGTTGTTCTTGTTGTTGCAACGACATTGACGGATTGGGTTCTTGTGTATCATCCTGGGGAATCTCGCCTTGAAATTTCTCGAACTTGGCACGAATTTTTGAAACGGACCCATTTTTGGTGGATGAAATTGGAGGGAAGGCAGTGAGGAAAGAAGGGCGCGGAAAAGATAAGGGGAGGTGCGTAGATGAGGATGGATTGGATGCTGCTATGAAGGAGCAATGGCCGAAGGAAGGATTTGGGGATGAGGAAGCCATGAACAGATCACTATTTCTGCTCCAATCTGTCAGCCATAGAATGAAGAATGAATTCACTCTATGTTCTGGATTTTTTGTGGCGCTGCTAAATGCTTATCCTCAAATTTAGTCACATTTTGTAGGGGTTAAATTCTCAATAAAAAATTTAAAAAAAAAAATCAATTTTTAATTTTTAAAACTATACATTAAAATTCACAAAAACAAAAATATTCGAATA